TGTGGACTGAAGGGTCCCGGGGTTCGATTCTGGTCAAGGGCATGTACCTTGGTTGCGGACACATCCCCAGTAGGAGGTGTGCAGGAGGCAGCTGATTGATGTTTCTCTCTCATCGATGTTTCCAGCTCTCTATCCCTCTCCCTTTCTCTCTGTAAAAAAATCAATAAAATATATATTTAAAAAAAAGAATGCTGTTCCAATGATAGCTATACTTCTGTTGATACTCCTTTGTACCAGACTTGTGTTTGGAATGTTTGCTTCTTTTGTCACTGTTCAAATTGCCCTCTGAATCCATTTTGCACAAAATGACATATAGTGGTCCTGAGCAAATAGTCAGGGAAATAGATTTCAACAGCAGAGTGGCACTTAATAAAGTGAGTAAATGAATGATTGGCCTTTAGTAGGTATTGAGCACATTCTTCTTAATCATAACAAATATAAAATCAAATAAAATAACTACCAAAGCCTACTGTGTTCCAGACACAATGTGAGGCACTTTTTATAACTAATCTCTAATGCTTACCACAGTAGTGCAGGGTATATTATCATCTTTTGTGGCCCACTGAAGGAATATTTAGTTTTGGAGAGATTGTGAACAAGGTTGTGCAGATAGAAAATAGCCCTAGCCAGTTTGGCTCAGTGGGTAGAGCGTTGGCCTGTGGACCAAAGGGTCCTCAGTTCGATTCTGGTCAAGGGAACGTATCTTGGTTGCAGGCTCTTCCCCAGCTTGGGCCCTGGTCAGACCTTGTACAGGAGGCAACCAATTGATATATTTCTCTCACATTGATATTTCTCTCTGTCTTTCCCTCTCTCTTCCACTCTCTCTAAAAATCAATGGAAAATTATCCTCAGGTGAGGATTAAAAAAAAAAAGAAGAAAGAAAATAGCAGAATTGGATTTTAAGCTCATATGTGTATCATACATTTCTTTCCTTACACACATATTAGTTCTGTCATATCACCATCAGTAATTCTATTACATAACCAAGGTTTCCAATAAGAAATGACAGCATTACGGTAGAAATTGTGTAGGGAACAATGTGGATCATTGTTTGGACTAAGAGAAATGATATTACAGACGGAAAAAGAGAAGTCGTAAAGATAATTGATAAGCCAAAATCAACACTTCGTAATGATTCAAAGTCCATAGTTTACATTATTATTCACTCTTGGTATTGTATCTTCTGTGGGTTTGAACAAATGTATAATGCCATGTATCCATCATTATGGGACCATACAGAATATTTTCACTGTCCTAAAAATTTTCTGTGCTCTGCTTACTCATTCCTCTACCACCTCCCCTCAACCCATGCCAACCACTTTACTGTCTCTAGTTTTGCCTTTCTAGAATGTCATACAGTTGGAATAATATAGTATGTAGCCTTTTCAGATTGGTTTGTTTCACTTAGCATAACACCCTCTAGGTCAGTGGTTCTCAACCTTCTGGCCCTTTAAATACAGTTCCTCATGTTGTGACCCAACCATAAAATTATTTTCGTTGCTACTTCATAACTGTAATGTTGCTACTGTTATGAATCGTAATGTAAATATATGATATGCAGGATGGTCTTAGGCGACCCCTGTGAAAGGGTCGTTCGACCACCAAAGGGGTTGCGACCCACAGGTTGAGAACCACTGCTCTAGGTCTATCCATGCAAAAGTTAATATTTCACTTTTTGGTTTTTTACGGCTCAGCAGTATTCCATTGTGTAAATATAACACAGCTTTTTTATCTACTCATTGGGCACTTGGGTTGCTTCCATGTCTTGGCTATTGTAAATAATGCTGCAGTGAACATGTGGGTGCATATATTCTTTCAAATTAGTGTTTTTTGTTTCTTCAGATACATACCCAGAAGTGGAATTGCTGGGTCATAGACCGTTTTATTTTTAATTTACTGAGGAACCTTCATACTGTTTTCCATAGTGGCTGTACCAATTTGTAATCCTATCAATAGTGCACTAGGATTCCTTTTCCTCCACATCCTCACCAACACTTCTTGTTTGTTGACTTATTGATGATAGTCATTCTGACAGATGTGAGGTGGTATCTCATAGTGGTTTTTATTTCATTTTTTTGGTAATTAATGATGTTGAACAACTTTTCATATGTCTATTGGCCAACTGCATATCCTCTTTGGAGAAGTATCTATTCAGGTCTTCTGCCCACCTTTTAATTGGGTTGTTTGATTTTTCTGGTGTTGAGTTGTCTGAGTTTTTTATGAACATTGGATATTAATCCCTTTTCAGATGTATCATTGGCAAATATCTTCTTCTCCATTTAATAGGCTGTCTTTTTGTTTTGTTGATGGTTTCCCTTGGTATGCAAAAACTTTTTAGTTTGATGTAAGCACATTTGTTTATTTTTTGATGTTGTTTCCCTTGCCCGAGGAGATATTTGAGAAAAAAAACATTGCTAAGAGAAGTGAGTGAGATTTTACTGCCTATGTTTTCTTTTAAGAGCTATATGGTTTCAGGTCTAATCCATTTTGAGTTTATATGTGTTATAAGAAGGTGGTTTAGTTTCATTTATTTGCATGTATCTGTCCAATGGTCTCAACATCATTTATTGAATAGTCTGTCTTTATCCCATTCTATGTTCTTGCCTCCTTTGTCATAAATTAATTACCCTAGAGATGTGGGTATATTTCTGGGCTCTCTATTCTGGTCCATTGAAGATCTTGGCCTATTTTTTAACCATGTTTTTTGTTTGTTTGTTTTCTCATTGTTGAAAAATTTTAAGAGTTCTCTGCATATTTTGAATAATAGTTCTTTATCACATATGTCTTTTGCCAATATTCCATCTGCACTTGAGAAAAATGTATTTTGGTGCTGTTGGATGGAACGTTCGTATATGTCTGTTAGGTCCATTTAGTCTAAAGTATTGTTCAAGTTCTATGTTGGTTTTCTGTCTGGATGATCTAGCCATTGTTGAAAGTGGATTATCAAAGTTCCCTACTATTATTGTATTGCTTTCTATAACTTGCCTGAGATCTGTTAGTATTTACTCAATATATTTAGGAGCTTAAATATCTTTGCTTCCAGTCATCTGCCTTCCTGAGTCCACAGCTCAATGGAAGGTGATGAGGTTCTGAATGGACATGAGTGACTGAGCTCCCTTGTGCTTTACCTTTTACAGTAAAATGAAAGAAAGAATAATTAAACCTTGATCATCGCAAGCGGGGAAGGAAAATGGCCATAAAAGATTAACATCTAGTAGTTTACCATCATAAGCCTAACTCTTCCCTGAAGAGTTTTCTCCTTTTTTATTTTTTAATCTTCACCCGGGGGCATTTTTCCATTGATTTTTACAGAGAGTGGAAGAGAGAGGGAAAGACAGAGAGAAATATCAATGTGAGAGAAACATATCGATTGGTTGCCTCCTGCATGAGCCCCACCAGGGCCCCGGGCCAGAGAGGAGCCTGCAACCAAGGTATGTGCCCTTGACCAAAATCGAACTTGGGAGCCTTTGGTCCACAGGCTGACGCTCTATCCACTGAGCCAAACTGGCTAGGGAAAGAGTTTTCTATTTTTTAAATTCCAGTGATAACAGTGAGATTAAAAAGAATATTAGCTTTACAAGCTTATTTTATAGCAGTTTCTAGCAGTAGTAACTGCCTTTGTCTTCATAGGAGTGCTAAGAGTTTATTAACAACCAACCTGTAGGACAAACATTTTAAAATTACTGATCTTAAGTAGTTAGCTGATAGGCAAATTTTGATTACTTGGCATTTGGCAGTAGAGAAAGAGAAACAGAAATAGGTCTAGTTGGTGAATTCATGTCTGAGGCTCCAGGTGGGCACATGAACTTCAGTAATAGCAATTGGCCTCGAATAAGAGAAAAACAAAAATTCCATGCAGAAATGAGGAAATTTCAGCATTATAGGTAGAGTATTTTCAGATTGGGGCTTATGAACTACTTTATGTCCTGAAGGCTTTAGGAATAGGCAATCTCCTGCTTCTGCAAATACCAAATGAAAAGCCAACTCAGTATTCTTGGATTTATAGATTGAGTTGACCAGATTGAAGGACACTTGCTCTTTTTCACTCTCTGCACTAGCCGGCCCCTGCATGCTGAGTTTCTATGGCAATATGATCTCAGTGACCTCTCTTCTCTATTGTGGAATGTAGGTGATAAGAATGGAGGTGAGCCTGATGATGCTGAACTGGTAAAGCTCAGTAAGAGGCTGGTGGAGAACGCAGTGCTCAAGGCTGTCCAGCAGTATCTGGAAGAAACACAGAACAAACACAAGCCAGGGGATGGGAGCACTGTGAAAACTGAAGAGGCTGATAGGAATGGCACTGACAATGACAACAGGAAATGAGACCCAAATGCAGGCAGGCCCCTCTGCTCCGTGAGAAGCATCCCTGCTCCCCTCTGCTGAGTCAGTGGACTGATTTGCAATGTGCTGTTTAAGTGTCTCTTGTCCAATCTGTGGAGGTTGCCTAATGCTTTCATGATCAGTGTGTTTGCATTTCTGAAACACAACAGAAGAAATATGGAGCGCTGGGACTAGCAGAGGAAATTAATTTATGAACGAAGAATGGCCCAAGTTTCACTTGCCCTGGGCCATGGCCAAGGGAGAGGGGACTTTGGGTTATGCCTCATGGACTCAAAGGCCGTGGAAGGGGCCTTGCCATAACTGGAATACTGCCATTTATATTGCTTAGCAGGGCATTTGACTACCTTATCTGAGGCCAAAATATACACACAGCTAACAAGTGCTAAGTTTCAAATAATCACTGTTGAAATGATTATTCACACTTCATAATGTTTTATGTTTGTCCTATGTATGCGGTTGCTATGGAGTGAACTTTATTTACAGTCAATTTGTTTCAGGTAAATAATATATTTTTGGCAAAATGCAACCTTTTCTATAAGATGTGGGCCACATTTTAAAGGTTTCTTGTTAACCCCCTTTTGATCAGTCGGTGTGCCACATTTAATGTTTTTCATTGGCATTTGTATGTAAAATGTATTGTAAATTTTTTTTTTCTGTAGGCAAGAGACCTATTGGAATCCGAGACTTAATTAATGAAGCTTTGCAGAGAGAAAGGATGGTTCTGAAGTCCAAAGTGAAACAGATAAAAGAACTTTTATTCCAGCCTGAGACTCAGGCCAAAATTAGAAGGGAGCTTTTTGAAGGAAGATCCATTAACAACAATAATCAAGAAAACGATGTTGATTTCAGTGCAACTTTAACATGAGCTCTACATTACTATCATGGTACCATAGTTTATGAAGCCCTTTCAGCTGACTAAATGGCTCTTTGGTAAATACCAAAGAAGTGTTCTGATAGTGTCTTTACTATGCACACCAACATTTGGTAAGGAATTAACAACTTCTTGCCAAAGAAAACCGATTCTGCCCTGTTATTTTTATTTTTAAAGCTACACTTGTGTTTGGTATTGTTTGTTTCTATAATATCAAGAGTTATTTTATTAAAAGGACTTTCTTAATTAGCTGTTGTAAAATGTTCTTGGGGTCTTCACGGATAAAATATGCAGACTGTGAAAAATCATTTATAGAAAAAAAAAGACAATATTTTAAGGGTCACTTGCTTCCTGTTGACATAAATTTTGTTGTAGTAGTAAATCAAAAGAAGTACTGTCCACATGTGACTATATCTAGTGTTACTTTTAGTGGGAATTTGAATGTTTATTGAATACTGCCACTAGTACTTGAATGAACATTTACAAATGTAATAATTGCAATCACTGGTTAAGAACGTGTTATAATATCCATATGCATTATTTTTCAATGATCAAAATGTAGTATGCCTTTTCATTTCTTAATGAATAAATGTTTGGGATTTTTATTTTCTACTTTTCTGAAGATAAGCCCAGGTCTTACGTATCCGTTAGAATTTGAATTTGTTTGCACTGATTTATTCTTAAAGAAAATTCTTGAAAAATTTCCCCTTGTATGATAATCATTGGTAACAGCTTTTTCTATGGTCATTGTAAAATTGCTGCTACTAAGAGAACATGATGGAGGGGGAAATCATTGGAGATCAAATATGTAATCATTTCAAATATAAAATCCAGTTGACTCCTGGATTTTAGCTATTTTTTCACTGGGTAAATTATACTACATTTATTTATAAATGAGTTTTTGCATTTTCATGCTTCTTAATAAATGTATTGTTTTCCCTTGTTGCCTTTCCTCATTTTCTCTCTCTTGGAACTTGTTGGATCTGGGTCGGTGTAATGAAGTCATAGACAGGAGCTCTGATAGTCTCAGTGCATCTTCACCTGGATGTTCTTATCCTTCATGCCAAGACTGCACAGTTGTCAGAGCTCCTTCAACTTTAGACTTTTAATCACTTCAAATCAGTCAGCTTCACATAGAATTAACAACACAACATTCAGTGCAAAGAAAATCTAAATAGCATCTCATAAACTGCTAAGAACGTGTCACTGAAGTGACATTAGTAGCAAAGATGAAAGCAGGTCCATCCAGATGCAAGGACCTGGGAGTTGCTTTTCATGACCCTCTTTCAATGAAAGAGGGCTTTACTGTCTGTAAGCAGAGATATTTGGGGAGTTGCCTTGGTTTTCAAATGAGGAAACAAACTCAAGGAGATTGAGTGCTTTATCCAAGCCACCTGCTATGGAGGAACTAGACCTGAATACAACCCAGGACTCCATCTCAGAGTTCCAGAGCTATGTTCACTGTCCCATAATCTAAGTTAACAGCATTTCAGAGAGAGCAATTCGACAGGGGCCTCCATGTGCCTGCGCTGGGGGAGAGCCCTTCTCAATATATATATATATATTGGGTCTACCGGACAGGAGGAGGTTGCAAGCAACATCGGGGCGGGGCGACAGGGGCCTCCATGTGCCTGCGCTGGGGGAGAGCCTGATCAGCAGCGGCCGTGGCTGCTTCAAGGGCTGGAGAGGGAGGCAGGGCCAGACCAGCAATGGCCGTGGCTGCTGCGGATCCCGGGGAACGAGGCAGGGCCGGACCTGTGACTCGAGGGTGGGCGGTGCCTCTCAATTTCGAATTGCGCGCTGGGCTCCTAGTATATCTATAAGTCTATTTATCCTCAAGGAGCTATTCCAACATTTCAAACAATTTGAAAGGCTAAGGCAGTATTTTTTTCCAATCTAGGTTTACCTGTCTTACTGTTACCTTAGTTAAGAATCATAGCTTCCAGGTGTGCCAGGTGAGTTAGGCATATTACCACCTTCCTTCCCTTGAGTGACCATGTTAGCAAGTTACTGTACTGTTTTCCAGATAGGAAACTAAGAAACGTAGACTCTAAATAGTTAAGTGGCTATAAAGCTAAATGGCTATTTATAAAGCTAATAAAAGGTAGGTCTAAATTTAAACTTGGATCTGTTCTACTTCAAAGTCATACTCTTCCCACAATGCACTTCCTTTCTCTACCAGGTACAATACATCTCACAACTTTAGGATGTGTAACAAAGGGAAAGTCACTTTCTTTTGACTAAGCCAGCTCCCTGGTAACTCTGCAGCTCTATGAACATATTTGAGAGCAGTCAGTTGATAAGATAGAATTGAAAAAACAAAAACCCAGATATCTAATTTAGGGATTAAAGATTCTAATCCTTATCAATCAAATCTTCATTTAAGCAGGCTTACACAGATAATGGAAAATACACAATAAAACAAATTTTGTTCATGGTTCCATTTAAAAAGATGAATACGACATTAACTTCTCAAAATCTAAGTTTGGGATCTGAAATAGTCAAAATGGCCTTTCCCCATTAATCAGAGTCTTAGAATAATTGCTTGTGGAGTCACATAGTCAGAATATATTGCCCTGAATTGGCACTGTATGCTAAAGCCTTGTTTTCTGACAGGGAGGCTTCATGGTTGAGGAAAGAACATTGGTTTGGTCCAGGAGGCAGACTGGCTTCTAGGCCCGGGTCTACCTCTGACAAGTGATATTGAACAAACCAATTTACTTTTTAAAAAAAATATATTTTTTTATTGATTTCAGAGAGGAAGGGAGAGGGAGAGGGAGAGAGAGATAGAAACATCAATGATGAGAGAGAATCATTGATCAGCTGCCTCCTGCATGCCCTCACTGGGCTCGTGCCCTGACCGGGAATCCAACCATGACCTCCTGGTTCATAGGTTGATATTCAACCACTTATCTGCACCAGCTGGGCCCAATTTACTTTTTTGAGCTTCAGTTCCCAATCTAATATTTGAAACAGTAGGGCTGGGTGATTTCCAAGGATCCTGGACTCTTTGTGACTATGCCAGGGTGCTACTTGTGTTGATGTCTCCGTCTCAGCTAGCTACCCAGGTGTGAGGCCTTCTTGACTGGACCACTCCAAGGCATCTGTTGTCAATGACAGGGTAGGAATTCTAGAAGACTTTACATTGTTTCACTTGTGTTGGTTGTCACCTTCATGTAGGGAAACCCCAGTGGCATGTATTCACATTTATAACCAGATCCCAACATTTTTAGTCACTAGAAAAATAGTAGATCTTAGATGAATATTTTAAGAGATATCAAAAAATATTTTCAACAGAACAAGATTCTGTCAGTCAGCTTTTAACTTGGTCCTACTTTATTGAGTTTTAGGTTATTATTGTATGAATCTATTTCTCAGTCTAAACAACTATAGGCCTTTGAGATATACTGGATTTATATCTAGAGCATTCTTAAGATTCAAACTATTCGCTCCAAACAGAAATGTGCCAGTCATCCCAGCAGCAAGATGTTCCCATAAGGAGGTAATTAAAGCAGTTTGACTTCATATTCTAAATGTTATTTCAGACATATGACCAATAAGATATGTTTTCTTCTCTGCACTCCATCCCAGATGCATAAACCAGCTATGGCATTATGTAACAAATGAATTTATTTCATTTTATAATTAAAGACAACAACTTATAGTATCTACAAACATAAATTGATGAATGGATAATCTATCAGCATGCATGGTTTTCATCCCTTTCAGATCTCATCTCTAATAAATTTATCTTGAACAAATTGTAGATGCATTCCTGAATTCTGATTTTTTTTGCAGGTAGAGAGAATTCATATAAAAAAAGAAATAAATCCAGTGTACTTAAAAATAGTTTCTAAGTCCCTATGTGAATTTGATAGCGGTGCACATTGCTAACAAGAGAAACTCTTGGATTATTTCACTCATAGTAAAAATTAATATTAGAGCAGTTCATTCTAAGTCAGTGATTTAAAATTCTGATACTATCTACTGCACTTCTTTCCTGGATCACTGTCTCAGGGATAATAAGGAACTCTGAGAGCTGAAAGAAGGTGCTAATATCATCTCTAGTGTAATATGCTCAAAACTACCTGTATCATTAAATTTAACTAATAAGTTCAGGCAATTTAGGATCATTTTAAGATGTAAACTGCGACATTTATTCCCCTGCATATCCCATCATTAGGCACTTGTTGGAAGGCCATGGAACTTTGTTATAGCATCAAAGATAGGAATAATAACACTGAGAAATCGATTCATTGTCTTCAGTACACTAATGCTCCTCTCCCTTTAGTGGTTCAAATTATGTTTGAAAAGCCACTATCCTATGACACTGTCCCCGTATACATCTGTTATATTGTTTGACCCATCTGCTTGTAGTCCTGTCAGCTTAAGCAGCTATATGGTATATGGAGCTCTTGTTCTTAAGTGATGGTAGAACAAATTGGTACTACGCTTCAGATTACACTTCCTTCCTGAAACCACATGGCACAATATTGTCATGATTATGTCTTTGAACCAAAGTGCACTGTAGTTTCTTTGCATATTTTAAAAAAATTATGGGTAAGATATATGTTATCTATAAGATAACATATATCTTACCCATAATTTTTAAGTCTTTTTTTTTTGGTAAATGCTCATGTAAGATATTAAAAGTTGTAGGAGGTGAGAGAATGAAGAAATGAGTCTCATAGCTGGACAGGCATTACAATGCTGAGGGAAGAAACAGAAGTTATATGTATGCACCAGTACAAAAAATATCTGATATGGTAATTGAGGTAAAGAAAATAGCATGGATATGCAAAGTGGGGAGAGACTACATATTTTTAAGATTCTGGAAGACAAATTTGGAAGCTATTTTTATCAGGTCCACACTTGGAAAGTGTCTTTATGGAGGGGGATGTGATGAGGGCTTTTAAAGATTTCCTGGACATGTGTCACACTTAGTGACTGCCCAGCATCTTTTGAACACCCTTCCTACATTGTAAACCCTCCTTCCCCAGGGTAGAGGTCCCGAGGTAGAGATAGGAACTCACCTTTTCAAGCTTCTGTGTCACAAGTTCATTTATGTGACCTAAGCTCCACCAAGCAAGAGGGAGACCCTGCAGGGAATAAATCCATCTGGCAAAGGTGCTCTCTGGGGATCCCATACCCCCTGTAGGTCATGACACTGGCAGAGGGTAGTGCCAACAAGGTCCCCCTGGAACAGCTGGCAGTGTAATGGGGCATCTTCTTGCTGCCTGGCCACCCAGGCTGATTCTCTGAACCTTCTGGGGATTCTGTGAGCTATTGACTGTTTTTTACTCTAAAGTTCCCTTTTCACTTAAACTAGCTAAAGTTGGTTCTGTTTGCAACTAAAAACCCTGACTAATACAGGCTACACTTCTCTAAAGTACTATTTCCACAAAGGCACAATTGGCATTTTGAATAGAACACTTCTCTGTAGTGTGGGACGGTTCTGCTCATTGTGGGATGTAACCATCCCTGATTGCCAAGCACTAAATTCCAGCAGCAGATTCCAGTTACTGTGACAACTAAATATGCCCCCCCCCCAATTTTCCAAATCTCCTCCAGATGGAGGCAACATAACCCCAGGGTGGGGAGCACACTATTAAATAGTGCTCTCGTAGCACATGAAAGAGTTAAAAAGGCTCCTTCTTGTGCCCATTGTATCAAGAGATAATTGAGGTCGTAAAGAGGACATGCTACCCAGCCAGAGTGGCTCAGCGGTTGAATGTCAACCTATGAACCAGGAGGTGACGGTTCTATTCCCAGTCAGGGCACATGCTCAGGTTGCGGGCTCAATCCCCAGTAGGGGGGGTGTGCATGCGGCATCGATCAATGACTCTCTCTCATCATTGATGTTTCTATCTCTATCTCCCTCTTCGGGCTCAATCAGTAGGGGGGTGTGCATGCGGCAGTCGATCAATGACTCTCTCTCATCATTG